ATGAAATTCGCGATTGTCCGCTTAGTGCACATAACCGTTTCATCAATTTCTTACGTTCTTTCGAAAATCGCACGAAACGATACGATGGGGTAAGTCGCGTAGAGAATTAGCCGCGTTTCCGTTTCGGTGATACGTTCAAATTTGTCGATGTTTTCGCGTATTCTTTTTTTTTTTTCTTCTTCTCAAGTTGTTAGGGTGGCTTTTAAGTTCTCGGGAGCGCTTTTAATGGATGAGAAACGTGTCTCTAAAAGGATCAACGTGTGCGTGTGCGTGTGTACTATTTGATGGGTAGCGCAGCGAGGATGGATGCAAACGTTTTTCTAATCAGTTACGGAAGCCATAAAGTTTGCCACAAAATCCGAGAAAATCGTGTTTACGCGTTATTCGAAGACTGCACAAGGTGGGTTCCTTTACGAATTCTCAACGTCGATGGATCTCGCGGCGCGAGCGTTACGAAACGAAAAGGTGTACGCGCGTGTCGTTGCGGTAATAGGAACGAGAAATTTTCAACGGTTGAAACTTGGTTAGTTTTTCTTGTAAAATCGCGCTTAAGAAAGCGCGATAGGTAACTCGCGTACGACGTACGCGAAATTGCTTTTCCTTTGCTCGCGATAATCGTTTCGAAGAGGACAGTTTTTTCGACGGTCGGGGTGAGACTCGGATTATACCCCTCGCGAGACGACTAACCGCGAGTAAAGTTACTTCTACGTAGATGTTTCGTTCGTTGTAAATACAAAGATGCTCGTGCGTGGTACAATTGCTTCGGACAGAATGTGTATGTTATACGCGCGTTAATCGATAATCCAGTGGAGAAGAGGATACGCGTAACGAATCTTGATCGCGTAACTTTACGATAACGACTAGGACACGACGCCGACGATAAAATAGCGACGATGATATGTACTGCATGCCGGCTCACATGGTTTGCCTCGAATTTTAAGCTTTCATAATCATTAATGTAATGCGGTGTGAACGTCGATAGAATCGAAAAGCAGCTCGTCTGTTCCGACGAAACGCACGGTTTCGGGAACAGTTTCGAATCGAATAAAATTGCTGATACATTCGTTTTACACGGACGCGTGTGTTGGGTGAAATTATACAAGGAGGCATTTTTTACGTTGGGTTCAAGTAACGTACTTTCACGGGTGTAAAAAATGGAAACACTAATAAAAAGCGATTCATTTTGGAGGCAGCATGTAAATAACAAAGGCTCAAAATGAAGAAGACTGCGCCGAATAGTTTTCGCGAGTTTATTTCGAAACGCGTAGCTACGGTCACTGCTCAACTTTCAACGCGCGCTTCGTTTTCTCTTCGTTAAAATCTCTTTTCTTTTTTACCCTGGATCGCGAAAATGCGAGGAGAAAAGAAAAGTCGTAGATGCGCGCGGTATAGAAGGAGCGATCGTTTCGAAATTCCTCGAGATTTTTGCGGAAGAAAATAACAACGTTTATCGCGACGGTTCGTCTCGATACGATACACACGTACATAGAAGGTATACACGCAGTCTTCTTTTCGAGAGCGAGCTTTTTAAGCCTTGATCGTATATATCGTCCACATGCTTGGCTCGAGCTTTTCTTTTACCATCGTTATCGAAGAACAAGTACCTATGTTGTTTGTCTTTGAAATTCGCGATAACCCGAGTAAGAAGCAAACGAGAGAGGGAAGCATTCATTGGTCGCGATTTAAGGCAAATAGAGTAACGTTATGTGGGTGGGTGATTTCCGGGGATAAAGGGGAGATTTATTAATGGCGGTTTTCGACTGTTCGAAGGAGAAAGGAAAACCCGTATGTAAAAAGCCTCCGTGTATGCTTACAGCGAGCCCTATGATGGAGGGTGTCTCTGCCAGCGAGCTGAGATTTCGGTGTGTCATGTGTGGACGTGGATATAGGTCACGATCCTCTCTGACGCGACACTCCAGGTACGAGTGCGGAGGACTCGGGTCCAGGTACACTTTCACGTGCACCCTCTGCGGAAAGTACTTCTGTCGACCGGATCACCTAAAGCAGCACATCCTCAATATTCACGGTGGATCGGTCGCCAAATAGCTTTCGTTTCCTTTTCTTCTGTTCTCTTTCTTACGCACGGTTAGAAAATCGCGATATTCGTTCGACGATACTATTACCGAATCGATTTCGTTCTTTGCTTCTTTCGTCCTACGAATTCTATGATATCGAAAAGATCGCGAAACGCAGGAAATTTGAGTTTTTATTTTCCGTATCGTCGTAACGATTACAGAGACACGATTGCAGAGTTCGTCGTAAAAAGCGTTAACGTTTCTACTTCGAACGCTGTTTGAACGAGCTTTGAACGAGCTTTGAACGAGCTTTGAACGAGGAGCAATTGTTATCCAAAGGAATACCAAAGGGAACTTTTGTGATAGAACTTGAATCGAGCGTACAATAACGTCAATTGTTACTAGCGGCATAATGTTTATTTTTGATCGTGTAATATTTATTGCGGGGTATATTTTCTTTTTAAATTATTATATCGAGCGCATACGCGAGTCTCGCGGAGACGCCGTTGTTTCTTCGTCTAAGAAGACTATAATGATTATCAAAATCGTTGCTATATAATCGTTAATTATGTATAATACGTAGACGGTATAAAGGGAGCGGTGTTACGAATTCTTTAATTACGCTTTGTGTAATACTATTTTTTCACGTAACCAGAAAATTTAATAGTCGGATATACTATCGAATGTTACTAACTGGCGTATTTCGTTTATTCGATTGTTCGTAAATCGCATTTAACAATTTCGGAAGGCTACGCGAAATGCCGTTTATAGGCTAGGGGTTAACGGAACGAGACCGGTACGCGATGCGTGAATGCGCGTACTCACGAAACTGCCAAATCAATTGATCGACGAATGCCAAATGAATAATATTCCTATTTTTCTAGCCTAAATAATAACTATTCGTAAGCGATTCTGTACGGTTACACGATTACGCGATTACGCGATTACGCGATTACTGACGGGGTAATAAGCGTTACGTTGTAGTAAAACCAGTCGACCAAGAAATTTCAGCGTTTTCAGTAGCGGAGTCGGTGTCGAGACACACGCGCTCGACGGATCGGTAACGTTATTGTTTTTAGCTGTGTCGCGTCGTGTCGTGGCGCATGTAAAAAAAAATTTCGATAAATGTTGTTCATATCGTTATCGTTCGGCGATAAACTTTACTAGTTGTTGCTGGAGCGATTTTACAAATTTTTACGAAATGTAAATAAAGGAAGATTTTTCGAAAATTGCCGGCGCGTTTGGTTTTGTTGTCGATTTCCATCATCGTTTCTGTTCGTAGATTGTTCACGATCGAGGGACGAAGAGAGCAAGAAGATCGGAGAACGGAATCGCCGACGGCTTTGGGATTCGAGCACATCAGTTTCCGATCGGAAACCGAAGCGTCAGAATTATTTCTCTCGTTCGGTTACGTTTGCTTCGATGCGCGAATCGTAGCTTAACGGTAACTGATACATGTTTTTCTTTGTTGCAGAATTATCGCGCACGTTTAGCGAGAAAGAAAGTAATCGCGCATCCGTAGGTCTTTGATATTCGCTAAACTTGTACCGTTCTCTGCTGATAGAACACGCGTCGGTCCCTTCGAAACGGCGTTACGTTGGTAACCGTAAATAGCGTCTATAAAAGTACACGTATTAACTAGCTTCGTCTTAGGCATCGATGCGACAGCGACAACGTCGACGGTGATGGAGATCGAAGGAGCGGATCGATGACGCAGGGAGAGTCGAGCATAAAATTCGCGAGGGCTGTGCAACTCCTACCGTCTCGAACCGTATCGAGCTATATAAAAGGCGTGTAGGTAAAACCTTGTATACACCGAAAATTGCTTTTGTGTTACAGTTTCGGTTCGAGAGTACAACGTCGGAGAATATCGATGCAACTTCTGCAACTGTCCTTACTCCTCGCCGAGTCATTTGAAGCGGCATCTGACTAGGGGTTGTTTCATGGATCCGTCTTTCCCGATCGAGGAAAGGCACACGATGAATCGAATGGAGTCGAGGAACCATGTTTGTCCAAAGTGCTCGCAGGGTTATAAGAACAAACGAACTTTGGACGCTCATTTGAGGACCGCTTGCGGTCGAGAACCAAAGTTTCTTTGCCCTTATTGCGGTTTGAGGAGCAAGCACGCGCCAAACATTTACACGCACATCAGACGAAGGCACAAAGGCGAAGATTCGTTTTTGATCGTCGATCAGGATCGACGTTGATAGCTAGCCAGTTATTCTTCGAAATTATTTCATCGTCCGTTATAATGATCATTTTTTTCGAAAGGAGCACTGGCAGGAAATCTCTCATGATCCCTGTCGCGCGCGCGCGAGCGATACGCGTTACTGCTATTTTGCGAATTACTGTTGTCGTTTTACCCGTGCCAAAAGATTTTACCTTTTTTTTTTTTTTTTCTTGTTTTTCTATCGTAATTAATCGAACGAATAATTCGTATTGCTAATACGAACGACGACCGCCGACCCTCGCCGAATCGAACATTTTTTCGTAGTCATCGTAAACGGACGTTGAAACAACGTTCGCGATCGATTCTGTACGAGCGTTTTTATATTGGATTTTTATACGGAATAAATCAAATTTACGCTCACTTGATACGACGTTAATTTTTTTCTTCTCTTTTTCTCTTTCTTTCTTTCCGTACGTATTATCGGTACGTTTCTTTCCGCTCGCTTTCTCGCGATCGTCCAGATACGAAAAGTTTGCGAAGACGCGTCACGCGTACGATTTGTCGAGTATTTCTTCGATCCGAACGACGAAAGAAGTTGAAACATGGCGTTGTCGCACTCGGTGGTAGGTAACTTTCGTCGTAAAAGTATTTTTTTTTTTTTTTTTTTTCTAATTTCTTTTCCTCGAAGTAAGCGAATTTCCGCATGAATTTGAAAGAAAATTTCGCGATGAATCGTAAAGAAAGAGAAAGATGTTTAAGTTGTCACGGAATCACAGCGACAGAGTTTAACGCGCGTCTTTTAAATTTTGTTTCAGAATGGCAAATCGAAGTGGAAGACTACAAAGACCAAACTATGATGAATGGATATTATTTTGGAACGCAGGATAGTATTGCTCCTGTAAATGTAAAATACCACGATGAATCTAAAGAATATCCTTGCGATGCTTGTCCCAAAAGTTTTGGATGTTATCGTAGTTTAAAGTCTCACAAGGCAAACGATTGCGGTAAAACATACACCTGTACAACGTGCGGCAAAACTTTCAACTATCGTGCGAGCTATTGCCGGCATAGAAAGCGTTGCGTGTAAGTTTAACACTTAACCTACGAGACGTCCCGTTGTAACAAGGCTTTTATTATCGTCGTATACAGCCGTTACGGTCGCACCGGTCGAAACAACGAAAGTCGAACGTGTTACGATTAAGAGGAAATCGAATAGGAGACACGAGGGTTTATAACGTTTCGTTACTGTTCGATTATGAAACGATGCCGTTTACTCGCTTCGCGTTTGCGAGGAGGATCACGTTCGTTTTCACGTCGTGCGCCGCGTTACATGTCGTATTAGGATAATTTTTATCGATAAATACCTTCCCAGCTGTGCAGTGTTTAATCGAGTGATTTTAACCGATGTTTCAGGAAGCTCGAAACTTTATCAGGATTCTGAACAGTCGAAACGGAAGTACGTGTGCGAGTATTGCTGCAAGCCGTTCACGCATTCGAGATTTCTCAGCAAACATCGAAATAATTATTGTTACTTCAATCCCCGATCGATGTTTTACAAGACGAAGCCGTTGAAACCGTACATCTGTGTTCTGTGTGGAGCCAATTACAGCAAAGTGTCGTCGCTTAAATCGCACGTTCGTTTCGATTGCGGGAAAACTCAAAAATGCGAAATTTGCGGCAAAACATTCTTGCACAGCAGTAGTCTGCGAAAACATAGATTGCAATGCTCCGTTTGATCGGCACCGATCGACCGAGCAGATCCGTCAACTTAAATATATATCGTTTTTCTCCGATTTCGACCAACGACGAATCCTCGATCCATTATATGCAAGCATATTATAATTTCGTCGCGAAAGTACGCGTTTCGTTTCTTTTCTTTTAAATTCTTAACTTCGGAAATGTTACGTCGTGTCCACGTCGTGTCCACGTCGTGTCCGAGAAAAGATCAGTTTATTTTAGTTTCGTTTTCGTTACACCTTTAATCGTTTCTACGCTAGTTCCGTACTGTTCCTTTCGTTTCTTTTCGTTCGTTTAACCGTTTCTACGTAATAGGAGATCGATGGAATCGATAGATTTATTCGTTTCGTTTGATAACGATCATTCGAAACCGAGAGAGACGCGTTGAAATTCCTCTTTTTTCTTTCCCTTTAATCGTTAATCGTTAATCGTTAATCGTTAATCGTTAATCGTCGATCGTTCGTTAAGCTAAGTCGATATTGCGAGGAACGTATCGTGAACGATGTACGGTAAATATTCATGCATTACCGGCCATAGGTTTAATCGCGCGATACAAAAATTCCATCACCCGCTAAAAACTTGAACGACGCGTTCGAAATGTTTGAGCGACGGTGTATTTCGCTGGTAATAAGACCGTTCGAAAATCGATCGCAATAGTTAAAATTCGATACAATCGAGAATAATTGCCATCGAGAAAATGCGATGGTTAACGATATATCTGTGCTCGTTCGTTAATACGTATCGTTTTATGTTTTTACCGCGTGAGCGAACCGCGTCGCGCGATCAAAGCTACGAGCGGTTGTGTACGTACACTCATAATAATCATATACATATATATATATACAGAAACACATATAATGCGTAGAGGTTGTACAGATTACTTGTTTGTACGCGAAGAAATAAAGAAAAGAAAGATTGCACACGCGAGTTGAATTGATCTCCGTTCTTCTCCGATCCTTTCACGACATAATTTTCCCTCGTTGAGTCGACGGTTGAGAATCGTTGAACGTCGAACGATGGTCGAACGATGATCGATCGACGAGTCCTTTCGTAGATTTCGTGATCGTCGGAGAGCAGATTGTTTAAAAACGGTCGCGAGCAGTAAACGCGGCGGATAGCGACGAGTTGTTCGTTCGCGTCGAAAAGAGCGAGGCGCACGAAAATTCGAGAACGCGATCCGCTTTGTTCGATAAGGACCGAAAGGATACAACTGACAAACGATTACTGCCTAATGTTTCAGAGCTTTTCACGGACACGATACGAGGGGAGGACCGTAAAAGAAAGTATAACTGCAAGTACTGTGGCAAGGATTTCACCTTTTCCGGTCATTTGAGAAGCCATCAGAAGAGCTTTTGCTATTGGAATCCGAGATCCACGTGCCATCAGTTACAAAAGAATAGACCGTTCTCGTGCGGTCAGTGCGGTGCTTGTTACTCGAAACAATCGCATCTGATTTTCCACGTTAGACACGAGTGCGGCAGAACGCAGAAATGTCCCGTATGCGGAAAAACGTTTCTTCACAGTAGCAGTTTGCGGAAGCATCGGCTGAGGCCTCCTTGTAATTTTCAAATTTGCTAGAACGAATCGAATCGTCGTTGCAGCGTACGTACGAAATGCTTGGTCGCAACCTCTTTCTTCGCCGTTCGTTTCCCTCTTGTAATTTATTCGAGAAATAATTAAACGTTATCGATTATCCTCGTACATCGTCGTTGTCCTTTCGGCGTCGTCGCGGAAATGCGCTACTTCTCGCTTTCAGGTAAGATACTCGAAACGTGCTTGGAACGTTGCGGATGCGCTCATCTTTCACCGAACGTAACGCGTTAGTTTCCACAGGTTCTGTAATAGGGGTTAGCTTCGACGAAACGTAACGCGTTGTTGCCTTTACTAACGCGTTACTCGGTGTTTTCAGATCGATCGTCCCTGGTGGAGCGCTTGGAAAACGAAAACGGCAGAAAAATACAACGCGAAGCGGAGAAAAGCCGAAAAGGACAGAAAAGTTATCGAAGATGCGTCTCTGGTAGCGGCTCCTGTTGCGGCCTAATAATATTGATTCGATGAGTACGTTGGAGACTTCACGGCTTCAAAGATATATTCTGCTTCGCGAAAGAAGCGATAAATGTTGGATTTCGTCGTTGAAAATGTATCGAATTTGTACATACTGTTTTGTTCCGCAGATTCGTCGCGATACATCAATTACACGCACACCCACGCAAACAACTGGAACAATGCCGTGAAAACGACTAGTTACACGATTTCATGGAATAAAGTTTAACGATGCGTGCGCTGTACCCGAGCTCGAACGTCGGAGTAGTTTTTCTGTTTTCTTTTCACGAACATTTACTGGAACGACCTAATTCGTCGACTACTTATCCTTGCTAGATTTTCGCCTTTTTTCGCGTGGGAAACACTATCCAGGCGTATACGATTTTCCAAATATTTTTCATCGTTTTTAGGGAAAGGATCCTCCAAGTAGTTCTCTTCGTCATCGTCTCCCGAATGTTGTATCGATGCATCTGCGTGCATCGGTACACGGCGATAAAACTTCAATGTCTTCGTCCTAGCAAGGACACGATACATTTATAAAAGACTCCGTTAAAGAAAAGTGTGGAAATCGACTGGTTCGCTAACAACGGCGCGTTAATTACGGTACCCCGCGAACGAAGAAATTAACATTTTTTTCCTTTTTTAATATCGAAACAATATTTCTCGACTGTTCCAGTTGCTTCTAAAGTGAAAATTTTTCGACATCGATATCCCGTGAACCGTGAAAAACGTATCTCTGCTACCTAGATAGTGCTTTACTCTCGGCCCTGTCGAAACGGCGAAGGGTGTAAGTTTCATTTCTTCTGCACGACGTACGTTGAAGAAAGAAACGATAATTTTTGTTCTGTTTGGTGAAACGAAAGTTCGAAAGTTAATTACGAGGGAAAGGCAAAGGGGAAAATGAGGGGGTTGGGGAGAGTTTACGATTAGAAGCAAAGTAGCTGAGCATGGATGAAAACGAGCACTCTGTATTATCTATCGAATGTCGTCGGTTCGTTGGTCTCGCGTCCCTTGCTTCTGCCACTAACCAACAACAACAATTCGATTGTTTTTTTCTAGATACGATGTACGGCCAGATACCTTCGTCGCTCGTACGTCCGGAAATGGTAACCACGGCTTCTATACCGGTCGAAAGTTACCGGCTCGGAAGGGACGCCGTCGGCAAAGAGGCAAAGGACGAGTCCTCCTTCCTGTACGTCGAAGCAGCCGGTTCGTGTCGTCGTCAGCCGATACCGTCCCAGACTTCCGTTCACTGGCCCGACAATCTTGCCGTTCAAAATTCCGCGACTAGGAAAAAGTTTTACTGTCCGAGATGCAACAGCGGCTACACCAGACTGTCCGATATGAAAACTCACTGTCAGTTCCAGTGCGGTAAGGAACCGCGGTATCAGTGTCCTTACTGCACGAAAAGAGCGAAATTCTCTTCGAACATGTACGTTCACGTGCGACGGATGCACAAGGACGAAAAGTTGCAAATAATCGACCTGTACAAACAGTTGTCCAGAATTCGCTATTAAAATCGGGCCGTTTTCGTTCCGTCGAAAAATGCGAACGATCAGGAGGGACGAAGAAAATGAACGAGTCGCGGAAGACGACGACGAAGAAGAAAGTGAAAACGTGTCGATGAGGAGGCGGAGAAGAAAGGCGGAGAAGGAAGAATAAGAAGACAACTGGGCAAGCGTCGCGCGTGTCGAACGCGTTTCATCGTTAGATAACTTTGTCGAGTAACTCGAGTTATCTTTCTTTGTATTTTGTCCGAGCGTGCAAGTTTTTCCGATAGCCAGCGGGTTTAGCGGCGATCGCGCGACGTCCTTTCGGTCCTCGAGATCGCGTAAAATTCCGATTCAGAGTTTCGGCAGCGTAGTGCTCCTCCGGGCAGACGCGTTACGATCGTTTCTCGAACAGAGTCGAGGTTCGGCTTCGGAAGCCGTTATCATCGTCGATGTGTACCTTGTTCCTTCATATTATATTTGTTACCCGTTGATCTACTCTGAATAAAGATTTGCCAAAACTGTTGGCTGCATCCCCGGAAACATGTTACGTTATTTGCGTCTGGTTCCTCCCTTTCTTTCTCGTAATTTTTCTAGATCGCGCGGCATGATCGCGTCGTTAGAATTCTCTAAAGTACTGTATCTAAGCTGGATCGCCTCGGCGAGGCGCGACGACGAGTTTCGTTATCGAAGGAACATTCGTTTTTATCGAGAGTTTTCGTTAGGCGAGATCGGTTTAAGGAAAGAAAAGTCGTGGTGCTAAGTAGTCGTCGTCGTCGTAGCGGTTCTTTCGTCGGCTCGTGTACTGACTAAGCGATTCAATTTTTTCAGGTTTCAAACGATTCGCCGCGTCGAGAACGTTATCGAATACGGGAGAACAAGGCAGACATTACGGGACTACTTTCGTACCGAACATCACCAGGTATCCTTGCGGCAATTGCACGAGCGTATTCGGACAGAAACGAAGTCTACTCACGCATTTGAGATACGAGTGCGGTCAGCCGCCGCGGTTCAAGTGTCCATACTGTGATTTAATTTCTAAGAAGACGTCCAACATACAGAAGCACATACGCCGGAAACACGAGGGCAACGCCGTCTACGTCGAGGACATTTATCGATTACCGTACTTGGCCGTTTGACCACGGTACGACTCTTACCGTGGACGATCGCGTCTCCTCGCCTTTTGCCCTACCGTGTCTGCTTGATCGTTATTATCGATTGGCTTTCAAATAAATACGATGCTTAAAACTATGTTCCGACGATTTTTATTTCAACGGAATCGTTCCGTCGCGATCTCGAAGCTCGAAACGACGAAGATCGTTTCGCGGTGGAAAGAGAAGAAGCCCTAGGGGACGCGCGGGTGAGTCGGTTTCTCGTTCGCGAGCGTATCTCTGTCTCCGTCAGTGGTGTCGGTGTCGGCGCATCGAACGCGTTCAACTTTCCGGATCCTGGAAGAGACGAGAACGGGCAGAAATCCGTCGAGATAATCGTCCGTTGGAAGTTCGAAAGGGAGAGAAACGAAACCGAGAAGAGCTCGTGCACGCGATTACGCGATTATCTACTCTCGTTCGATCGACGCGCTAGAACTCGAAAACATATTTTTTTTTCTTTTTTTTTTCTTTTTCTTTATTCTCAAGTACACTCGAGGCGTAAAGCAGTAGGAATTCGTCGACGGATCGCGATACATTCTGAAACGTAGCGTTTTGCAATGCTTTCTTTTGTTCGCAGACGATCCTTTTTACTTCGAACGTCTAATGGGCGAACGGGGGGACGTCGCGTCCAAGTCCTTCGCTTTTCAACACGTTCACGACGTCAAGTTCCCCTGTCCGAATTGTAGCAGCGTCTTCAATCGGAAGAACAACCTGCAGAAGCACCTGAAGTACGAATGTGGCCAGTTGCCGAGGTTCAAGTGTCCTTACTGCGAGTACCGTTCGAAGAAAACGTCCAACGTTCGCGCGCATGTCCGGTCCATTCACTTCGGTTGCAACGTTTACGTGATCGATCTTAACGCGAGTTGCGTTTAATTGTACGTTCGAATGTTTCGTGTTCTCCCTTGGAAACGGACAACGCGTCCAATTACGTTTCGCGCCTTCGTTTCGACGCACGTTTTGTACGTAACATTTGAGAAATAAAGTTTCGATTCAACCTGTCTGAACATGCGATGCGTGTGTTTGAGGGAAAAGTATAAGCGAAAGAGGAGAAGGGAGGAGAAGGAGGAGGAGGAGGAGGAGGTGGTGGAGGAGGAGGAGAGGGTGATAGAAAGAAAGAGAGCAAGGGGGAGAGAGAGAGAGAGAATGCGAGTTCGTCGAGTCTTCAGGACCCTGACGAGTACCAAACGTTTTCTTGCAGATCTGGAGCACCTGGGCGGCTTCAAGATACCGTGCCACGCGTTGCCGAGGCAGTCGGAATTTCAAGAGCGGAACGAGGGCAGATTTCCTTGTCCGAAATGCACGAGCAGTTTCAACCGGAAGAACAATCTTTACACGCATTTAAAGTTCGAATGCGGCCAACTGCCGAGATTCGGTTGTCCTTACTGTCATTACGCGTCCAAGAAGTCGTCCAACATTCGCGCGCACGTTCGCCGAAAGCATCGCGAGTACAAAGTGAGCGTGATCGACGTATCGCGCGAACCGCTTTACGGCTCGTTGGCGGAACACGCGAACTCGATCGAGACCGGGCAAGCGTTTTGATCTGCTCGAAATTCCGCGTCGCGCCTCGCGTACACCGATGTTTTGCGCAAAACTCCGTATTGTCGAAAGTTTCGTTGATTGAATAAAACGAGCGATTATCAAGATGCACGTGTGCACGACTCGTCGTCTCTTTATTTGATATATATACATATATATCCTATTCATCATCGGAAGATGACGGTGGTCCGTGGTCGAACGACGGGGCG